GTTCCCGCTCACTGGCTGAGGGAGGTGTGGGCGCGGTGCTGAGGGTCGCAATCCCGTTGCCGGTCCCGGTCCGGTACGGGCGCGACACTGAGGGTTGCGATCCGTTGCCGGACACGAAAAAAGACAAAAAGGAGGAAAAAAAAAAAAAAATCTTGGGGATACAAATAGAGGGCTACAGACCCTTAAGGTCTGCTGACTGGTCTTGCTGGCACTGTCTACGGCCTTCACCACAGGTCTAGGTACCAGAGACTGGGTCGGCATTCGATTCTTCCAGCTGCTAATGTGTAACAGAGGTACAGATGTTAATCCCTTCATGGAGGGACTCAACCTCAAATTGGCCTCAATACTGGAAAAAAGAACACACTCAGTACAGGGAGAAGGGGCTCAGACAGCCCTCCTCTTCTCACTGTTGTCCTTCTTATATTTGCATTTAATCTTAGCCATGAAATAGGTGACCATTTGGTGGTCACAGTATTCTTCACACAGGTGGGTATCCTCAGTTAGAGACCTGACTTCGATAATTCTATCTTGAATAGAGAGGATGAAAACATAAAGGATGCTGCCCAGGCCAAAGATCAGAATGTGTCTTTCAGAATCATTTTTCTTATCCAAGCCAAGTGGCCGTAGCAGTTGGCTCGCTGATGATTCTGTACACAATAAGAGCAGCAATGGTTACAGCATCTTTGGTGGCCTACAGCTAGAAATCATTACAATAACTGGTAGTATGAGGATGATGTGGGTCAGTGTTCACAAAGTAGGCTCTAAAATTTTCTCCACCATTTTCAAAACCATTGTGGTAAGCAGACTTCTAAGGTCTACCCATAGACTCCCCACCTCTTGGTGTTCGCTCTCATGGAATCCCCTCCCCTGGAGTGTGAGCTGGGCCTAGTGACTTGCTGTTAACAAACAGAGCACGACAAAAGTGATAGATGTCATTGCTGTGATTAGGCTACAAGGGCATTATGCTCAGAAAAAAGNGGTCACAGTATTCTTCACACAGGTGGGTATCCTCAGTTAGAGACCTGACTTCGATAATTCTCTTGAATAGAGAGGATGAAAACATAAAGGATGCTGCCCAGGCCAAAGATCGGAATGTGTCTTTCAGAATCATCTTTCTTATCCAAGCCAAGTGGCCGTAGCAGTTGGCTCGCTGATGATTCTGTACACAATAAGAGCAGCAATGGTTACAGCATCTTTGGTGGCCTACAGCTAGAAATCATTACAATAACTGGTAGTATGAGGATGATGTGGGTCAGTGTTCACAAAGTAGGCTCTAAAATTTTCTCCACCATTTTCAAAACCATTGTGGTAAGCAGACTTCTAAGGTCTACCCGTAGATTCCCCACCTCTTGGTGTTCGCTCTCATGGAATCCCCTCCCCTGGAGTGTGAGCTGGGCCTAGTGACTTGCTGTTAACAAACAGAGCACAACAAAAGTGATAGATGTCATTGCTGTGATTAGGCTACAAGGGCATTATGCTCAGAAAAAAGCCAGTTTTAAAAGTTGCACACTATATGATTCCATTTATGAATTCTCAAAATGACGAAATTATAGAGATGGAGAACAGATTACTCACTGCCAGGAATTAGGGACGCCGAGGGGTGGGGGTGGGGGGGAGGTGGTGTGACTAAAGGCGCAGCGTGGAGAAGATCTTTGTGGTGATAAAACAGTTCTGTATCTCAATTGTGTGGCTGCCTGGACCTACACATGATAAAATATCATAGAATTATGGGCACACATTGTACTAACATGAATTTTGTTTTCTATGCTCTGTCCCCATATGGTCTACCTCCATCATTCCACGTCCATCATTACCTTGATACAAATGTCTCTCTTCTCAACTTCACTTCCACACTTCTAAATGCCAGCATGATAGTTCTAATTGGATATCTTGTTGCTCTCTTGGCATATCGTAAATTTAGCTTGTTACCTTCACCCTCTGACCTCTCTTTGCTTTGCCACCTTCCTACCTGTCACTTATAGACAAACATAAGTGGTTCTTTATTATTCCCTCTCCCTGGCCTCCTATTACCAGTTGTCTTGTAGGAATTATGATTCTTGCTTAAATTCATTTCTATTCTCACCATCATCGCTACAGTTCGGGGCCCCAGAACTCTTGTTTGAAACTTGACAAGAACTTCCTAATAGATGAGTAGGCCTCCAAACTCTCACCAATCTTATCTAGTCTGTACAGTAAATATCAGAAGATGCTTTGACACAAAAAGTTGAAAAGCAACTGTAGAAAGGACAAGAGGTGGAAAGGGAAATATAAAGAAATCTGAGCAGAAGCCAAATAAGATATCTCTCTGGAAGCAGTTAAACAAATTCACTTAATTTAAAATTTCTCTTCGCACGATCATACAAATTATAGGCAACAATGTTTCTTTCTCAGTAAAAGTGCAAAATACATACCTTAACTCTTCGAGTAATGCTAAGGAATTGACAAGTTTTATCATAAAGTTCTTCCAGGTTTTCTCTATCCCAGTAGAAATCAGGAGTAATCAAGAAGTCTGAACTCAAGTTTATACGGTGCCTTAAAAACAGGAAAATTATAACTTTTTAATTATCTTGAATTAAAAAATCATTGTTTCTGTTTAGTATTTCACATTTACATTGTATTTTATGGAAATGTTTTTAATGCTGACCTTTGCAAAATACTTCTGAGAAACATGTAAATAAAACTTACTTACAAAAGAATTTCAAAATTCTCAACCAAATTAATTTAATCTTTAGTACTGATATCATGTATGAAGTAGAAAGAAAAAAAACCTCTCATTTTGTTTTCAATTTCTTTTTTTTTTTTCCTTTTTGTCTTTTTTACTGACCAGTAACGGGATTGCAACCCTTGGTGTCGTGCCCGTACCGGGGACCGGCAACGGGATCGCAACCCTCGGTGTTGCGCCCGCACCGCGCTCAGCCAGTGAGCGGGAACCGGTCTCCACATGGGATCCGAACCCTCGGCGGGAGCACCGCTGCACTCCCAAGCGGCGCACTCTGCAGTGCGCCACCGGGCCGGCCCTGTTTTCAATTTCTAAGCTTCATTTTTCATTAAATTTTTTTTACAATATACACACACATATGTTTTTGTGGGGATAATCACATGGCTCAAAAATCAAAGACTTAGAAAGGTAAAAATTGATCAACCCCCCCCCCCTTTTTTTGGTGGCTGGCAGGTATGGGGATCTGAACTGCTGAGCTTGGTATAACACCATGCTTTAACCAACAGAAGTAACCGGCCAGTCCAGTCCTATTCTTATCTCCATCTTTCCCTTTCTCCCACTCCCTATGGGTAACCACTGTTAGTTTCCTCTGTATCCACCCAGTGTTTGTGTAAACACTGGACAAGCAAACACACATGTGCGTGCACACACACACTCTCTCACGTAAGAGGTCTAAGCTTACTTTTAAAGTTTTTAATTAAATGAAAATTTAAGTTGCAAAAGTAACACATAGTTGTTAACTACATAAAAAAAGAAAATACCCTAGAGAAGAACTCAGAAAAACAGTGGTAGGCCCTCTTATCCTACCACACAACTCAAATCCTTTATTCTTCCCAAGGATAGGCCCTACAAACTCTTTGACGTATTCTTCCAGATCTTTATGCCTCTGTTTGTGTGTGTGTGCACGCAAGTACACACATATATATGTGTATGTATATATGTATATCAAAATATATTTTTGTTTGCTTACACAAATGGGATGATACCATAATTTGTATCTTAATTTTTCATCTAATATAACTTTCATGATTCTATTTACAGATTTATCACATTCCTTTTAGTAACACATAAGCACTTTTGTTGTAAGGATTTTAAAATTTTAGGATAAGTAAGCCTTTATAGAAACTATTTACAAACCTACAGATAGTTAGTTCTAACTTTTGAGTTTTGATATTGTAATTCACTATATCAAATTTTGCTTGCATTACTAGGAAAACAGGAGAGAAGAATTTCTCTACTCTACTTCTTAGAGAACTCAGGGCTTTAGATCTGCTGTGGGATGCTCCCAATAAATGGGTTTTTTATTTTTGTTGGTACTCTGAAGGGTCCCTGAGCTACGAGAAATGCATAGATGATGAAACACTGGACCATGTCTCCTCTCCAGGCAGAGTATTGAAGGAGAATGTGGAAAACCAAGTCTTAGGTAAATATTTACAATGAGCTCTGGTAACTCATTCCACACGCTGGAAAGGATGAAACTGGACAACACTGACCAGTGGAAAAACACCAACATCTGGGGTGGTTCATTCCATAAATCCTGGGACAATTGCAAGAGTAAAATAAAATGAAAATCTTTCCAGACATTTAAAATAATGCATTACTGTAGTTCATCAATTTTAAGACAGGTCTTCCCATTTTAACGTCTCTGAAAACGGGAAGAGTCTTAAATATGATGGTTTCTTACCAGTGGCAACTGTGACTTAGTTGTCATTATTTCTCTCACACTTCCCTTTTCATGTCTCTCCAAGAGGGAATGTAATAGAATCTACATCCAAATAAGACTAAAAGAGCTATTTCAATAAGTGTAAAATTTAAATTATGTGATAAAAAAAACATTGGCAGCATTTTTCCTCTCCTGTGGCATCTTATGGTGTCTCAGATTCAATGCAATATGGTACATAACTTTCCTGAAGCAATTAGTTCTATTTAGCATTAAGATGCAGTGATATATTTTTATTGAGAATTCCCATTAACCAAATTCAAGAGTATGCTTTCTACCAAAAAACATCTATTGTGCTCCTTGATGTGGGTTTAATGTAGATTAATTATGATCTCTTTTGCACATGAGGAATTTCTATCAGTATGGTCCTAATATAGCCCAACTGTTTCCAATGGGGGAGAATTCTGTTTATAAACAATGAAATGAAAATAGCTGCAATCCCCATAAGTGTATAAATGTTTGCTCTTTACTGTAGAACTATAGGAATGTTTTCTTGAGATTGTTAAATATATGAAATATTTCATTTACAAGAAAATTTTTACCTTAGGGCAAAGAGTTCACCCATTTTCTGCATAACTTCTTTATGAGATAGTTTCACCTTCTTTCCGGCTTTTAAAGCCTACTTGGGAGGAAAACACACACACACCAAAAAACCATACACATTATCTCTTTCCAATAAGTATTAGGTCCATAAGGCAAACCCTGAAGTGGCATGATTTTGAACCTATGTCAGCAGTTCTTAAGATGACTATCTCCCAGATTAATGTAAAATTTCAAAATCTTACTAGGTAGAAATTCTATATCCCCTTTTTTCATTTTTCTTCTCATTAGCATTTTCTACGATATATACTCCCAATCTCTTATTGGAAAAGCAGGGCCTCTTTTACCAAGTATAATTACATTATTCATTCGCAATAAAGACAAAATCACAGTAAAGATTATTGTTAATGTTTCTGGAAATTTTAATATAACTTTATATGCATTTTTATGCCACTGTTTTTCTCAGCATTTAGCAAAACACTGTTTTTAATCAAGAAAGTGGTCATCACCTTCCTTATAAAACATTTTGCTTTGTTTCTTTCAGTTACATTAAAATATTGCATCACCAGAGAGACATAATCTAAAGTTACAAAAAGTTCAAAAAAAAAAAAAAAGAGAAAAATCAGTAAAGTTTCTTATTATTTTATATGTAATTGGAAGTTATTTTTGCTTAAATTCAGTGTACCTATCTTACTGTTTATTATCACTTTATTGTACTCCTGAATATGTTGCTATATTGGGAAATTTGTAGTTTTCCCAGATAGAAATCAGTCCTTAAAAATAAGCATAAAATTGATATAATTACCTCTGGAATCGACTGAATAGAGTCAACAAATTTATCCAGTGATGCTTCCCAAATAGCCAGTTTCACTGGGAGAAAAAATTAACATGGGAACATTTCTTTATCATCATATTCACATTTATACAAAAAGCATAATTGCACAGTAACTTCACTGCCATTTCAACAATAGTTTAAGAAGCAACTGTGCTAAAACTTGAAACTGAAACTTAAGGATAGTTAATTATTATAAAGGACAGAACTAAAGTAGAAAAAAGATAGAGGAAACAACAGATTTTCAAGTCCTGTTTGCAGATCAAAGCTACATTTGGTAGAATTCCTAATTTTCTAATGACATCATCACAGAAACCAAGGGAGTACAAGGTACAACGACTCTATGGGTAGCTCTGTAGCTGGCGCAGCAGTAAGACTTTCCTGGCCTCCCTATGCTCCTCAGGACTATAAGCAAAGCTCAGAATTTCTGAAGCCTCTCAGAGTAGTACAGATAGGCTGCAGCAGCAGCAGCCTAATAGACACTGGTGGCAAAAGAAATTCTAGAGCACTTCTACAGTTTTATTCAGGGGCATGGACCTTTCAGAAAAGACTTAGAGCTGCTGTGACTCTGTCCCATTCCTGTGAAACACTACAGTATGTTTTTCCAACCAGAGGCCTGTGCCTGTCACACAAGGCTGGGCTTTCTTTGCCTGCATGAGAGACTGCCTAAGAATAACAATCACACAGAGAGAAGAGGAGAGGAAAACAAAGGCAATAATAATAATAATAAAAAGTTTTTGGAGAGACTAAGCTTTATCAATATAATTAATAAGGAATAAGTAACTTTTGCATAGGTACTATATTTTGTATTATTTATTTTTTCTGTTGAAGGAAAAAAGGGAAAAGGAATGCTAAGGCTTTACTGAGTACTCTATGAAAACAGCAAAACCTTCACTAAATGCTTAAACTTCTCTTGATGAAATAAAAACTATGTAGTACCTTCTCCCATAAGTAGCAATAATTTACCTGAAAGGCAAAGAGCATTGGAGAAAGCAAATTAGCAAAACCTTCACTAAATGCTTAAACTTCTCTTGATGAAATAAAAACTATGTACTACCTTCTCCCATAAGTAGCAATAATTTACCTGAAAGGCAAAGAGCATTGGAGAAAGCAAATTTCTCTAGAATGGCATCATCTAAATCCAGCTCCACATTTAACTTGATTTCCCCTCTGTGAAGTTTTGACTGTCCCCTGTGAAAAGGAAAAAAAAAAAAAAAAGTATATTCTAAATCTTAAAAAGCACTTTAAGCTTTCCTTTTGAAAAAGTTACCTTATAATCTTTCTAGAGGTCATTTAACATTTGTGTCAAGAATCTTATAAATGTTCTTATACCCTTTGATCCAAGTAATTCTATTTCTAGGAATTTATCCTAAAGAAATAATCTAAGATGCAAAGAAAGATTTGCGGACAAAAACTTTTTAGGTCAATGTTTAATAGTAAAAAATTAGGAAAGAATCTAAAAGTTCAATAGAAGAATGGGTCAATAATAGTAATTCCACACAATAAAAACTAAAAACCGTGTTTTAGAAGAATATATAATAGGGAGAATGTTCACAGTGAATGGCTAAGTGAAAAAATGCTGAATATAAAGTGATACATGCAGTGTAATCTAAAATCACAGCTGTAGTGGGGACAGGAGGGAGACGGGGAAGTTGTGGAAAAGTGAATGTGTACCTGTGGAGAACTCTGGAAGGGACTGAGGAGGGGGAAGGGAGAGAATCTGTGAATATAACCACCACGAGTGAGCGGGACAAGTACAGGGTAAACCTCCACCAAGGATGTGAGAAGAGATGGACAGAGGGAGGTAGACAAGGGCCAATGGGAGGGTGGAGGCAGAATCTGCTCTGAAAACCTCAGGTGGAGGAAAAAAGGAAAGACTTAAAAAAGAGAGCAGCGTTCACAAGATGCTTTATGAAGGAGCCTGGCCCACACCACGGAAGTGAGGGAGGTGGCAGATCACTTAACAACTGTGTTGTTGGCCGCCAGGATGGTCCTGTTGACAAAACCAAATAGCTGACTCTGGGATCCAAAGAGTTGAGGATTTTACTCCTCCCAGACTCTAAGAGACTGTGTGAAAGTGTGAGAGAGTGTGTGTGTGTGTGTGTGTGTGTGCGTGTGCGTATCTAGGAAGCTATGGTTTGATCTGGAAGTAGAGCACAGAAGAGGAGTTCAGGGGAACCATAACCACAAGGCTGAGGGCTTAATAATAAAGTTAACAACATTCTATTAGTTCCTCTTGTTGAGCCTCTCAGCGTCACATCCTCGCTGCAGCCACCATGGGCCCAGGCCCTCCCTCCTGAGTCAGGTGCCTTTCAGCAAGACCAAACTTCTTCGAACCTCACCTGAAAGCCAGTTAACCGCAACAACAGGGCTTTTGCCAGAACAGTGCATGGAAGTACTTAGAACACAGTACCTGGCAAATGGCTGGCTGTTATTGCTTAGCTCATATCCCACCTGGTCTTTCTCTAGCTAGCACCTCTTCCAACTTTTCTTAAAGTTCTGCTTTCAACAATTCCTTTCTTAACAACCCACAAAGACTTTCTTTTTTCACATTCCACTGGACAGGTAACTTCCATGTGGAAAAAGCCTTTCTGTCTAGTTCTTGCTGCCTTCTCTCTTCACCCTAACATCTCTTTTCATTTTTTCCCTCTTGCTGAGATGTGAAAATCTGCTCATCCGCTGCCTGTCTGTATATTTTACCTGAGAACAGTACGTCAGGCTCCCACTTCTTGCAGGCACAATTCGACAAGTGGTTCTCTTAGTTTGCCTGCTCATTATACTTCCTTTTTATACTCAAAATCAATAGGAAAAAGATAGATTTACTTAAGAGAAACTTTACTGGAATACTCTGATAGGTTCATTCTGATGAAGCCATTTTATTAATTTAGGCTGCTTAGAAAACTTAAGTTTTCCATTTTGCTATTACCTATTTTAATGTATGGACACCCTGAGAAATTTTTTAAAAAATTATGTTTATCCACTAATTTTTATTATATAGTTCAGGCTTTGTGTTTATACCAATAACCTTTTTCTTAAAATTAGTCTCTATATTCATAAATAATTTATCTCCTCTACTGCTTTATCTAGTTTATTCCAAGTGCCCTTTTAAAAAATTGGATAAAAAGTTGCTTACTCTGTTTTTATGTAGTTAAGCTCTTCATTTTCCCAGTGTACTAGTGCAATTTCATAGGGCTGAATCTCATGTTTTTCAAGAACTTGCATCACATGCTTCATCTATAAGAAAAGAAGATTAACCTGAAATTATAACTGACTCCCTCAGAACAAGTATGTTATGGTGTTATTTTCACTACATTTAATGACATATTTTCTGTTGCCTAGTTTTTAAGGGAAAGGCAATTCATTGTGATACTAAACTAACCAGGATGACACATTCACTTGTTTTTACATTTAGAAAACACAGATAAGCATAAAGAAGAAAATAAAAATTATCATTATCCCACAACCCAAAGATAATCACTAGTAATGTTATGATTTGTATTCTTCAAATCTCTTTAAAAAAAAAAAGGTAAAGGCAACATACTTATAAAAATTTTAAGCAATGCAGAGGTATAGAAAGTAACCATCGCTCTCTCTCTACTCTCCTGACATCCTAATCCCCAGAGGTAACCATGATTAAACCTGGTGCATATCCTTCCAGACATTTGTTCTGTGTGTATATGCGTATACATTTATTTTGTTTTATATATGCACTGGGATCATACCATGCAAAGGAGCACTTTTTAAACACTATTCTCCTTCATGGAGGAACTGCAATTTATTTAACCATCCTCAATGTCCATCCATGGGGGTGACCGCTACTCTCCACTATTACAGCACCACAATGTGCCGTCCTTCTGCATTCATCCTTGTGGCCTTGTGGGAATATCTCTTTAGGAATTGCTAGATTAAAAGAAATGCATGCTTATAATTTTGATAAATATTGCTAATGTGCTCTCTGAAATAGTTTTTCCAATTTTGAAATCCAAACATTTCTGAGTAACACTCTTAAAGAACACAGGGTATCATCAGCCTTTTACATCTTTCCAACATCAAATAGCCA